ATTTCTCAGGCTTAAAAAAAAACATCTAATTGCTTAAGATTCTATGAGTGAGAAGACTCCTAAACAGAAAACTAGCTTGCTTTTGTCTAACAGAAATTTAGTCTAGCTAAATGCTCTCTGCACAGGCCCTTGCCACAGTTATGCTTCTGATATGACCCTTTACTCAGCTCTCTGATACTTGAGGAATCTTTTTATTCTACATTTTTCCTTTGGACTGTCATGTGCATCCCTATGTCTTAAACCACTAAGTTCGTGGACTGCTTGGTAGCCACAGGCAGCTCTATGGCCCAACACAAACCTGTAAACTTTCTAAAACATTGTAATTTTTTTTTTATTTCTTTTTGTAACTCAGTCGCAGGTTTCTTGAGTATAAACATGACAGCATCATGTTGCAGTGTCACGAAGCTCTCTCCCACAAGCCCAGTCCCTCTACCCGTGTGCCCCATATGCACATCAAAGGTAGCACGTCCAGAGTTTATCTTACTCTCTTTCTTGTACGTATCCAGCCAGTCATCTGTGCAAGAAAGGGAGAGTACCTTCTCCTCGGGTTTTGCTCTATTCTTGCAATGCACCTAAAATAGCTCATTTATATGATTGTTCCTCCCTCCCTCCCTCCCTCCCTCCCTCCCTCCCTCCCTTCTTTTACCATCGTTATTTTTATTCAGGCTCTTTGAAAGTCTCTTGCTCCTTCAATTCGTTTTATATTATTGATAATTATATTTCCTAACAACAAAAGAAAAAGTGATCTCCATCATTCCCCCACTAACGAGGTCACAGCCCAGCATGCATTCGCCATTCCTGTCCATAATATTTTTCACTATTGTCTGTTGGGTATAATATGAATCCCAGGGTCTTCTAGTCCTAGGGTGAGTCTCTCCTCCTTACAGTTCTCTATATCTTCACATAAACTCAAAGATCTGGTCACACCCAGTCTCAGCCCTTCCCTGAACACATCACATCTTAGATTGTTATGAGAGTAGCAGTGTTCTTTCTGCCCAAGTGGAATTCTTCTGAAGAGCAGTGCTCATCACTAGAGGGCCACCAGGGGACACCATGAAAAGGAGGAACTATTTCTCATAGGATGCCGACCATAGGACGCTTGGTGAGTGTTTGAGATTGTAGCTTCTGCCAGCAGTAACACCTCTGGAAAAGCCTTACCAAAAAGTATTTCCTTTCTTAAATCTCCTCCCCAGCTCTGCCTGGAGTATTGGGATTTCCTCCTCTCTGATCCAAATGCCCAGTCTTCTACCAACTCCAAGACTGATGGAGATTTCACGTTTCAACCTTTTTGATATCGAGGTATATCTTATGAGCTACACATCCCATCTTGGTTAGCAGCTATCTTTCCCTTAGAAGCACAGGTAATAGTAGCTACTCATGAGAATGTGAAATCAGATAAGTGTTATTCTAAATTGCCATAAAATATGATTGTCCAAGGTCAATAATGCATGTTTGTGGTGGGCAAAGAATTGTATATTTTCTATTAAATAGAGAAACAGCTTTTTTTTAAAAGTATCCAGCAGCAGTGGTGCACACCTTTTATCCCAGCATTCAGGAAACAGAAGCAGGTGGATCTCAAGTTCAAGGCCGTCCAGGACAGCCAGAGCTATTACAGAGAAACCCTGTTTTGAAACAATCAAACAAACACCAAAACCCAAAACCAACAACAACAACAACAACAACAACAACAAACTGAACAAAAAAAGTAGTACTGTCTTCTTCCTGTGTTTCCATCATGACATACTGCCTAAACACAACCCATGGACAATGGAGCCAAGTAAAACTAAAAACAAATAAAGAAATCTTTTTTTTTCTTTTCTTAAAAAGAAACTACCCTCTAGTCCCCATAATAAAGAGATATTTCATTTGTGTGTCTAGCAAGCGAGCAAAGCTATAGCTTCTAAACCATTATTTAGGCAAGCATTGTGCATCATATAGGTCTCAGTTATATACTGCAGGGCGACAAAAGCATGGCCTCATGTGTACTGTGTCCCACTGTCACCTGAGCAGCCTGAGCTGGCAGTCAGACATAGAACTGACGAGGGTGCAGGGTGAGTCTGTGAACCTCTACACTGTGACAATGTTGCCGAGAAGGCAGAGGGGTAACCGGAAGGGCGTGGGAAAGAAGGCCACCCACAGAATTTCAGGTTGTCTGATAGTTACAAATGAAAAGAGGAATAAAAAGATTAATGCTAAGGCTATATTTCACTTATGTTACCCAATAAATGAAGATACAATCACTTTACAATGCAATGCATATTAAGAAAGCAGAAAGAAAGGATTTTCCCCGATTTAGTCATATTGGAGTTGCAACACATGGCCGATGTCTGCTGTATCAGACAGTGCAAGTCCAAGCTGTTTTCATAAACTCAGCTAAATAAAAAGGTAATAACAATGCATTACTTCTACAGTAAGCATTGTACCCCATCATGCTGGGAGCATTTAAAATTCCCACAATATTCTTAAGTTTGAAAAAAACAGAACATAATATTCCCTCCAAATTCATTTTTGTGTCTTGTTTTGGATAATTTCTTTTAAAACATGATTTGAGACAATTCCTGGTATCCTTTTCACCTTCCCTAAAAGGGGGCTGGCTATAGCCCATCTTGGTCTAATAAGAAAGTCCTTGGTACAGATGTAAGACTAGAAATCACTTTAGTTAGAATGATCAGTATCTCACATATAGCAGATTCTGAACACATATCTTTGAATAGTCATTAAAAAGTGAACTAAAGTTGACAACGGCAATCTATTATTTGAAATCCACAATGGCACTATCTGGAGGGTGAGAACTGTTCCATTTCTCGTTGGTTGATCTAGAACTTGTTTTGGGTATTAAGACTTAGAATAGTGGGTTACATCTTCTGAAGTTGTAGGCCAATGGGGTTCCATAGACCCACAAGAATTAGAGGCTACTGCAAATACTCTTAGTTACCTTCAGAACCTGTTGGTGGGCATGAAATCCAATTGAAAGCCGAGGGGCTATTGGCATTTGATGGCTACCGGGAAAGAAAGAGTCAGTTTTCTTTAATGATGGATGTGACCTAGTAGGGCAGGCCCCATTCCTGTGTGTAGTTAACCAACACAAACTGGATCCAACGGATCTTTTAAAAAGGAAGAAAATATAAAAGTTAAATAAGTAGGAAAGTGAGGATATAGAGGATGGATCTGGGTGAAGTTGGGAGGAGGACTAATATGATCAAAATACTCTAATTTTTTGAAATTCTCAAGTACTACTTTAGGACTTGCTTTTTTGAGCTGAGGAAATGCAGTAAATTTCCAAAGCATGAAGTTTTCAAGGTTCTAATCTATTCATATCTACCTCTTTTCATTAAATTATTAGAATTCTCTATGTATAAAAAAAAGATTTTAAGGCCATTAAGATATACAGGCAGAAAAATATTCCAATATATACATGTTAGAATTTTCCAGATATAGAATAATAGGAATTTTTTTAAAGAATAGAATTTAAGCCATAGGTACCTCATTTCAAGTTCATTTTACATATGTGAAAAGAAAGAGTCTTATGAATTAAGCACAGCAAATGGAAGTATCTTCTGGCTATGGGAGCATCTACACATAATAATAACCACAAAGCAACACATTTACCTTGATGACTCTCATAAAAAACCTACCTAGTCACATGCACACAGAACAAAATATCTCAACCTTTGCTCTCAAGGTGGTAACCAGCCTGATACACTACTCGCAACAAACATGAGGATCAGCAAGACCAACTCTGCCTTCTGCCTTCACGAAAACAAGGCTTTGCCACAGAGGAAAGAGCAGTGATCTCTGCACAGAGAGAGCAGCCGGGACGGGGGTTCCTGTGACTCATGGACTGGGAATTTCTCTGCTAATTTCCAAGGTGGTTTGGCCATACTTCGTCAATTGACCCAACTTAGCAGCCTTTTGTTGATGGTGTGGTATCATGTGGCCTTATTCAGTAATAGAAACAGCATGTTGAAATTTACCCAACAGTTCCCGCATGCATTTCCTCTGGCTTTCTAGTAAAGAAGAAAGCTCACTCCAAAAACTCCATACTTATTTTTCTTTCAAACCTTAAACTGAATTCAGGAAATTAAAATAGGAAATACGTAAAAGCATTGTATTTTCCTGTTCACTAATTGCGATCAGTAAAAGCTTTCCAGTTCTACCAAAAATATGGAGGAAGGAGCTGGAGAGATGGCTCAGTGGTTAAGAGCATTGCCTGCTCTTCCAAAGGTCCTGAGTTCAATTCCCAGCAACCACATGGTGGCTCACAACCATCTGTAAAGAGGTCCGGTGCCCTCTTCTGGCCTGCAGACATACACACAGACAGAATATTGTATACATAATAAATAAATAAAATAAATACAAAAATATGGAGGAAGGCACAGAACAGGCAAAGGTTTCTAAGTAAGTGTTGCATCTCCTGGGTATGCCAAAGAGCCAATGGGTGCTGGTTAGTGGGATGATGACATTCATGGGGCCCCAGTTTACCTCTCTGTAAAGGAATGGAAAATATAATACAACGAACAACAAATTTCATGTTTCCAAGTTTCCACCCTCATGAGACCAGGAATATATTCCTTGCTGACTTCTCAGGGCTGACCACAAATCGGAGTGAGCTGCGGGGCTACGTAAGGCTTGTTCATCCACACTGTGATCACTTAACGTGGACCCAGGTCACCTGTGTGTAAGCCTTGCACATCCACACTGTGATCAGCTAACAAGGAGCAAGGACACCTGTGCTCTAGAGGTGACAGAGAAGTTTGCCTTCAAAATATTTCAAAAGCAGGAATGACAATGAGAAATGTGTGAAATGGTCTCAGAAGGTGATACAAAGATACAGGGCAAACCCATCTACATGGAGGATGGAGCCACCACGGGAAGATGGACCATGGGCCAGGGGTGCTCTCTGTGGCCATCAGGGATTAAGTGGCAATGGGAGCCTCAGAGAGAGTGCTGTCAAGAAGGCTCTTGAGTGTCCTTGATGTGCAGCTGAGAAAGCCTCCTACCTTTCTGGAAGAAGTCCTCCAGCTTGTCCTTGAAAGGCTGCAGATACTCCTTCGGGGACTCCTTGCACACCAACTTCATCTGTTGCTCACTTGCTGCAAAGAGAAGTATAGAACAGACTAAATCAGGAATAATTACTTGCTGAGATCCTGTTTGGGCCCAGTGTTATGTTATCAATTGTACAGATTCCGTATCAATCACAGTCTAACCAAACTCTATGGGAAAAAGTAGCACATTCTGTACCTCTATTTCAGAACAGGGATATGTGTAACATTTAATTTTTCTTTTAGCCATTCATAAAAAAGATCTATAAGTTGTGTCAGGTAAAATATTCTGCTTTTTTTTTCCCCCTCAAAATAGAGCGGAGAAGGTACCTAAGGACTGATCCCAGGGAAGAAAGGCCCCTGGCCTTCTGCAGATTCATAAACCGAAAAGGATCTTGCTGAAGTTCCCACAATTCCAAACTCTCCAGAATCATCAAGTTAAAGAATCCTCATGTTCATGGACACTCCAGTCCAGGTTAGGAAGTACTGCATGATCCTCATGCATCTCAGAACAAACAAAGGTCATTGTCAAGATGAAAGTGCTGAGAGTCGGCCTAAGTCCTGCCATAGAGAACAGGACAGAGAACACTGGACCTCGACTGGCACACACTAGCTCATCTATCCTCACCCAAACTACGAGCTCAGAGTAGAAAATCATTAATAGTCAAACTTGCCTAGTGACCCACAGATGTGGGACATTGCAAAACTTTAAAATAAACAGAATACAAAATATAGAAATAAACCTACATGGAGGCTTTGCAGGAGAAATAGATAAATATAAGGAACAGGTGACATGTAAGATTGATTTGTTTGACCAATGAGGAAAAGGAGGGAGGGACCTGAGTTCAGGGTGATAATACTATTCTCAGAAAGCAATGGGACACCCTCACACCACTCACCTAACACTTTACTGACACATGAATAATATCCCTTGGTTTGCTTCAGACAAGACACCTAGAATTTATGACAAATTATTGTTTTGATAATCAGGATGCCTTGAACCAAAATGTTCTGATTTCATTACATATAAATCATCAGAATCAAGAGTTCACTGTCTCTAGGAGTGGTTAGCTCAGGCAAAAGATGTGTTTTCTGAAAAGCTTCTGTATCCTGAAAAGTCTCTCTGCCGACACAATTCAAATCAGACCAAATCAATGGGATTAGAAAAATCTCAGGTTTAATGGCTACAATGTTCCCGGATGATTTTGCAGCCCCCACAGAGAGGAGATGGGAAAGGAAGACTGGAAAAAAAACCCAAGTCTATTTTCTGGGGAGGGGCAGTTTCAATACCCCGTGGGAGTGGTCTTGTGCATCTCTAGAGGGGGGGGACATTATTTAGTGAGAGAGATGGGGGAGGGGGCTTGAAGTGGAGCTGAACATTCTAGACTCTTTGGATATATGAATGTCAGGGGCTCGGGTGAAGCTTTCACCCTAACATTTTTTATATGTTTTTGGCCATAGGCTTCAAGTATTGGTCATGGCTGGAAATTACTAATAGACCCTTGTCTAAGACACCAAATTAAACCTTGGATTTTTATCCTAAGCAGATTATGCTGCCTAGTTAAAATAAAATGAGAAACACCTAGATGTGTGGTGTACACCTGCAATCCGAGAGCTTGGGAGGCAGAGGTAGGTGGAGCTTGTGTGTACACAGAATGTGCCAGCCTGGCCTGGCACCATATGAAACCCTGTCTTCAGGGGCGCGTGTGTAGACAAATGTATACTTTATATCTTGGAAGAATCTATAAACAAGAAGGCAAGACATTCTGAATGTAAGCCATTGGGAAGGACCTTTATCTACATCAGGAACATTCTAAGCAACCATTTGGTGTTTTTACAAGCAAAATGACTCGCTATCCTCTGCAAAGAGTCACCTGACACTTCTTCTGTCTGGGACCGTCTTGCCTTGAACTCCTGTTGAGTCTCTAAAGAGCTCATGTTGCAGGAGGGAGTTAGCACACCTGGCTTCACACTTTCCACTTGCAGTAGTGGCAACCAGATTTCTAGACTCTTCAACTATGCGGAAAGACTAGGAGATATGCTTGGGGAGGGAGCATGATTCGAAGCCATCTTGTGTGGTTTTCTAAGCGCATCCTCAGGGTTCCAGGCCTTCATTGTAGGGCAGGGTTACTAGGTCACAGTACAGGAGGGTTACTAGATCACAGTACAGGAGGGTTACTAGATCACAGTACAGGAGCACCCTTATTTGGGCTTCTACCATCATGGCTGCTTTCAAAGACTTCTGGCTAGAGCTTAAATAGACTATCTACTGCTATTCAGACAACTGTCAGGGCTGGCTGGGAAACCTGCCCATTAGTCTTCAGACTTTAACTAAATTCTTTTTTCTTATAGTTCACCAAGGTGAAAAAATAAAAATCTTATTTTGGAACAAATAAATGGATAGCAGTTTCCTTAAAATCAGCCAAACCATTTCAAAATATTTGCTTCTGGGACCAGTGAGATGGCTTAGTGGCACTTGCCACCAAGCCTGTTGCCCTGAGTTTGATACCTGAGCTCACGTGGTTGAAAGGGAGAATCAACCCTAAAAGTTGTACTTTGTCTTCTTCACGAGCTCACACACAAATAAACATGCATGTATCCACAGAACAAATAAACACGTAGGATTTAAAAGCAAACAAAAACATAAATATTTGAACATTTTTAGCTTTCTTTGATAGTGTTTTTGATCTTCTTTCTAAAAATACTCTATAAATTCTCCACTATTATCAAATTTCTCCCAGTTTTCCAAGTATAAATAATTTGGACAACGGTAAACATCCTTCCTGATATAACTTATCTTTCTGAAACAGTGAAACAGAAATGCTCTGAGCTTGAGCTATGTCAGAGGACAGAGAAAAAGGGAGAGGCAGTTGTAGACAGAACTGAGACACACTTTAAAGGCAGAATAAACAGATCTGGATTATGGACTCAGGGTAGGGATGAGGGGTGACAAAGCCATAATGGGTGATTCCAAGTCCACCTAAAAGGGATTAGTATATTTAAAAAAAAACACTCATTTGTGTGTGTATTTTCAATGTGTGTGTACATGCTCAATATGTGTGTTTATGTGTATGTGCATGCATATTGAGGCCAGAGAATGACACTGATATCTTCTTTTCACTCTCTGTCTTATTTTTCGAGACAGGGTCTCTCACTGAATCAAAAGCAGGCCAGCCAGCTCTCAACCCCCAACCCATCCCAACCTGTCCCTGTTTTTCCAAGCACAGGGACTACAGACCCAGTACTGTCACGCCAGACTTTTACATGGGTGCTCGTGACCTGAGCTTAGGTCCTCATATGTATCTGGCAAGCATTTCTCTGGCTGTGTCACTTCCCCAGTCCCTGGCTTAGTGAATTTTCATGATCTTAGCACCACCCATCACCTCACCCCAGGAGGCATAAGCAAGGTAGCAAAGATGATCATATTGACTATGCATTTCTAGAGGAGATCAGTGCACAGGCAATTGGTCAAAAAAACTTTGAATGAGCTCTGTTTTAAACCATCATTTGACAATGAATGTTCAGAGAGGCATACTTTTCTCCTGATATGCAATTATGACTCTGAGAAAACCTGAAGTATAAATCACTAGCTCTTGAAATTCAAAAATCCCTCACTGACATTAAAATTCCAGTAACAATTTTTAGAACTGCTTTTATGAGCACAAATAGTAAGTCATGTTATCAATTTAGAAAACGAGATATAACTGAAAGCATGAGGTTGATTCCTTGAAGGTCACTTCACATCAAAGTGTAGCTTAAGGAAGCGCTGGTATCCATGGTCATCGAAGCATGACTTCTACTTTTCTTGAATTGAAAAGATGGGTTATTGCAGCTCTTCTTTTGTCCTGGAAGCAGTAACAGATGGAATGTCCATAAAACGGTTCAAATTTTATGAGCCATGTCACAGAACTGTAAAAAGCATGAGCTCGGACCAAGGCTTCCCTGGACTCAGGTGTGCTGTGGCACCTTTCTTTCTGCATGACAAGAGATAATGCATAAAAGTCGTCTGTAGAATGTGTAGCATTAGCAAGCAACTGTAGGAGAAGGGCCAGCTTGTTTGTCCCAGCCACCTGGCTAGCTTAGACCCGAAATAATCACACAAGAACTATACTAATCAAACCACTGCTTGGCCCATTAGCTCTAGTTGCTTATTGGCTAACTCTTACATCTTAATTTAACCCATCTCCATTAATCTGTGTATCACCACGTGGCAATGGCTTACCGGCAAAGTTTCTGCATGTCTTACTCTGGCGGTAGATCCATGGCATCTCCCTGACTCTGCCTTCTTCCTCCCACCATTCCATCCAGTTTTCCCTGCCTACCCAAGTTCTGCCCTATCAACAGGCCACGACAATGTCTTTATTCATTAATGCTAATCACAGCACAGAGGGGACTCCCACATCAAGCAACTTTGAACAATATTATTTGTTATTATGATAATCTAGTAAACTTGGTCAGGAAACATTTCACAGTGGGGAGATTACAGTGGATGGCTGAGGACTAAATGCTGACAAAGCTGAGTGCTCAGTTTACAGAGGTATCACACAGCAGAGATCTCCTGTTTAGAAGATGGAATTAGGCTGGTTACAGTCCAAAACCCAAGAGAAGCTAGGTAACAAGGAGAACACTAAGAGAGACACACAGGAATCCCCTTGGAAGGGGAAATAGATAAGATCTCCTGAGAAAATTGGGAGTACGGAGAGGGCAGAAGGGAAGGTAGAGAGAGAAGGAAGGGAATGGGGAAGAGAACATGAGGGAAAGGAACGACCAGTATGGGGGAGGACAGAGAGGGAGAGAAAGGAAAGAGCTATCTTTATTGAGGGAGCCATTAAGGGGCTAGCAAGAAACCTGGCACTAGGGAAATTTTTGGGAATCCACAAGGATGACCCCAGCTAAGACCCTAAGCAATAGTGGAGAGGACACCTGAACTGACCTTACCCTATAATCAGATTGATGACTACACTAATTCTCATCATAGAATCTTCATCCAGTAACTGACGGAAACAGATGCAGAGATCCACAGCTAAGTACTGGGCCGAGCACAAAGAGAG